CCGTCAGACCTTGCTGTCATCATGTACACTAGTGGCTCCACTGGCCGCCCGAAAGGGGTCATCATCATTCACAGCAACCTCATTTCTGGCATGACGGGCCAGTGTGAGAGGATCCCCGGTTTGGGGTGAGTGTGAAAAATGAAGCTCAAATGAAACGGCCTCGCATGTACTGACATTGAAACTCAGCAAAAGTAGCTTTGTTTGACTGTGGATTTGTATTTTTACAGCCCCAAGGACACATACATAGCTTATCTGCCCCTGGCTCATGTGTTGGAGTTGACTGCTGAGATCTCATGTGTAACCTATGGATGTAGGATTGGCTACTCCTCCCCACAAACACTGTCTGATCAGGTAATGGAACTTCTAAATATTTTACAATATTATAAATATTGTAACAAAGTAGTAATGGAATAGTTACCTTGTTGTCTTTGTAGTCATCTGATTATGTCCTTTTGATGTTTTTTCACTAGTCCACTAAAATCAAAAAAGGCAGTAAGGGTGACTGCTCTGTGCTAAGGCCTACGCTGATGGCAGCTGTACCGGTAAGTTCTGCTTTGCTCCTTTATTGTTACAGTTTACCTTTAGCATAACCTTCCAATTGACCGTTATCAATATCACTCAGATATAAACTGGCTTTATAAGACATTCAGTGCAGACATATGAGTTTGAGAAGTGAAAAATATACATGTAACAAAAATGGATTCTGGAAAACATGATTACATTAATCAAACAATGGAAATTATTTTGTCATTCTGCATTAAAGCTGCAGGTGTTCATGTCTAATAACTCGAGCTGGTCAGAGTAATGTTAGATGCTGAGGAGGACTCATTGTTTTTAACATGAGATTTTTTTAATCAAACTTGTCAGTGCTGTACAGTCATGTTTAATCTGACAGCTTTATCAAGCTAGCTGTCAGCAGATAAGCTAAGAAAAGCTAATTAGTTTGCTAACTGATCTTAACATTTTCCTCCAACATAATTTGTTAGATATCGTTATTTATCATTTAAATCACATTTAAAATAATTTTTAGTGAATTAAGTAACCCAGATAAAGTTTAGCTTACTTAAAGCCAGCATAGGTCTGACTGTTAATTGCTTTGACAGTGCACTGTTAGTGTGGTCTTCATTACAGTTCTCATGAAACTTCTTCAGCTTCAGGAATGAAACAAAAACAACATTACCCTCAAAATAGTTAGAAATGCGTGTTACACAGTATGTTTCTCAGCAATATCTTTCCACCATTTCTTAGCCTAATAATTCAGACTAATTTACTGCCACTGCTGTTCTCACTGCAAGTTTGTTTTGAGGAGTTCTCTTAAAGTTTTTCCTTTGCTTGTTAGAAGAAATAGCTCTTAGAAACTATTGTGATTGGCTGAGAAGTGTGTCAATCATAATTTTGCAAACAAAGAAATAACACTACCTTTCACTATTTTGTTTGTGTTTTTTAACCCACCAGGAAATCATGGACCGCATCAATAAAAATGTGATGAGCAAAGTGCAGGAGATGAACTGTGTGCAGAGGACCCTGTTCAAACTGGCTTATGATTACAAGCTGGAGCAGATCAAAAAAGGCTATGATGCCCCCCTTTGCAACTTGTAAGAGCACATGTATATTTGTAGTGTGAGCAGTGTTGTAGTTGTTTTTAATGTGCTGATCCAGGTTCATGGTGTTTCTGTATATTTGTAGGCTATTTAAGAAGGTGAGGGCTCTGCTGGGAGGAAACGTACGAATGATGCTATCCGGAGGGGCACCTCTGTCGTCTGCCACACAGCGCTTCATGAACATCTGTTTCTGCTGCCCTGTGGGCCAGGGCTATGGCCTGACTGAGACTTGTGGAGCAGGCACCATCACAGAAGGTGAGCAGATTGTGGGCACCAGTAAGCTACGAGAGATGTAAAACCAAGAGTTCACAAACACTCACTGCAAAATTGCACGCATTTGGCCTGTAGTGATTGAGCAACGATCAATGAAATTTTCACATTTATTTGTGGAAAGATGTGTATTTTTAGACATATTAGAACTTTGCTCTTGTTTTTCTTCTCTTGGTTAGTGCGTGCAGCTTGTCGGTTGCATGATTTATGTGTGCGCCACAAATCTGGTACATCTGCTACAAAAAGTTGTTATTAAGTTGGTTTTAACTTGCGGCACTCACTTCTCCTGTTCTTTTGTAATGCAGTGGCAGACTACAGCACAGGACGAGTGGGAGCTCCCCTCATCTGCTGTGAGGTCAAACTCCGAGACTGGGCAGAAGGTCAGTGGATAAGAGTGCAGAGCATTTAGCCTGTAATGCCATGTTTCTCACAGATGGTCTGAGAACCCACTGGCATGCGCACTTTGGAGTTTCGGCCTGTCCTGACTAGCCAAAAATTGTTTAGCAATTACTTATCAAGTCTTTTGTGTGTTCATCCAAGTAACTTATGAGGGTCTTGGAAGAGAATAGAATAGAAAATGCTCAAGAAATAAAAATGCCATGGAAAGGCCATAAGCAGTGCAATTCCTTCTTTAACAGGTGGCTATACAAAGCTGGACAAGCCTCATCCTCGAGGCGAGATCCTGATTGGAGGTCCCAATGTGGCTTTGGGCTACTACAAGAAAGAAAGCAGTAATGGTGGTGATTTCTTTGTGGATGAGAATGGGCAACGATGGTTCTGCACTGGTGATGTAGGAGAGATTCATGCTGATGGCTGTCTCCAGATTGTGGGTATGTATCAGGACTGGCCAGTACAATGGATAAAATGTTGCCATGCTAACAATAATGGAAACTAGTAGGGGTAGTTATACAAGTAAAAATGTTGTTAGCCAAGCTAGTATTTTTCAGTGAAGCATTCCTTATGAAGAATAACCAGTTTCATTGATTGTTCTCTTCTTGAAATATATAGATCGGAAGAAGGACCTGGTCAAACTGCAAGCTGGGGAATATGTATCTTTGGGAAAAGTTGAGTCAGCCCTGAAGAACTGCTCCCTAATCGACAACATCTGTGCATATGCAAACAGGTGTGTTAGCTTTACGTTACCTATTGCAAGAACCAAAGTGAAATGTGACTGAGAGAAAGTAGTCATGCTCAGTTAGCCAGTTTGTAGACTTCTCTCCTCTATTTCACCAACAGTGATCAGAACTACGTGATTAGCTTTGTGGTGCCTAACCAAAAGAAGCTGACTGCTCTGGCCAATCAGAAGGGTATTGAAGGCACATGGGAAGAGATCTGCACCCACCCTATTATGGAGATGGAAGTTCTGAGGGAGATTAAAGAAGTTGCCACTTCTAGTAAGTTATTTTTGTTTTTTTCCTATCAATACAGTGCTAGTAGATTAAAAAAAATAATAATATATTCTGGTTTTCTTGGCCAAAATAACAGTCCTGGAGCTTCATTTATATGACAATCACAATTTAAATCACAGTCATGATGCTGGCCTAGAACATTTAAAAATGTGTTCAGTGCTAGTAGCAAACTAAACATTTTTGTACTTGAATATTACACTTTGTTGTTTTATTGAAAGATTTGTATTGATGCTTTTGGATTTTTGCCAATGCTGATATTCATTTTTCTGTATTTATAGTTAAATTGCAGCGCTTTGAGATCCCAGTGAAGGTTCATTTGAGTCCAGAGCCGTGGACCCCTGAAACTGGCCTGGTCACAGATGCATTTAAACTGAAAAGGAAGGAGCTGAAAAACCACTATCTCCATGACATTGAGCGAATGTATGGCCGCAAATAGAACCACAATCGTAGCCAAAGATGACATCACCATCACTCTGCTGCCGTAAAGCTAGTGCTGCGTATGTATAGATGTTTTGCTATGACCTGACCACACCTCATCGCTTAGTGTGGTGCGCGCACACTCGCACACGTATCAAAAAACTACTGTGCTGTTCTGTTTATAAAATATTCTGTTATAATACTGTGGATAATGTAAGCAGCATTGTATAGATCTATCCAGTCGGAGCTTTACAGTCTCTTTGCTGTGGAATAGTTTACTGTTGAGTTTTAACTGTGTGGCATGAGACACTTGGCTAAGGGACAAGATTCACTCTTAAACAACATGAAGTGTCTGCCTATTATTTTTACCTGCTAGCAAAAGAAACCTCCTGCCTTGCGAAAGGATTTCAACCATATAACAGCGTTAAACTGCCATCACATTTAGCTATTTGTATTTTTGTAAACTATGTGAACTGTTGCATTCTCATCTTTGTAATACTTTCATTAGAAATGAATCTTTTTGATGGCTTGGTTTGCTAGAATTTGAAGGCCAAAGCTGAGTGTTAGATGAGGCTGTCGCTGTACCACCAGATGGGCTTCCTTGCAAAGGCAAGCAATGTATGGTGATTTCTTTGTGCCTTCTGAGTGGTCTGTTTTTAAGTGTTTGATGCCCTACTGTTAGTTAATTTAGGAACTACGCACATCCAGTGATATTTGTATGATACATTCTAATGGCTTTACAATTCATGGCCCACCAGTTTTCCTTCCTTACGTATGAATTTAATTTTTACATGCACTGAATTGAGTTGTAAATGAGGTTTGTTTTCCAATGTTAATATTTTGTTAATTTATTAGGTCATTTTGTGTTAAGTGAAGGACTCAGGACTGTAGGATGAGATGACGGTTGGCTTGCAAGTTTTGTGCCAACGTACAGTATAGAAGAGCAATCAGTTGTAACCTTAATGAAGGGAAAAAAACATTTTATGAAACATTCATCCACAAAACCAAACACTGTTCAAGTTTCATCACCTGCCACTGTACTTAATACCACCAATGCAGATTTTATAATACATTTGCCAGTATGTTTTAGTGTTTCAGTGCTGCCTAAATGATAACTCCACTATAATACTGTATTGAGTATTGATTCAGAGCCACACCGGGACTTTGTCCCCACAGTTACTAGCAGTCTCCAGAAAAACAGATCAATTTCTTCTATAAGTATACACCATCATTACATTATCATTTTGCCAGTTTAGATTGCTCTGCTTACAACCTTTTGCACTATAATTTATTTCTTTTAGAATACATTACAGCCTCAAATGTGGGATCATTTCATTAAAAGAGAATAAATGTTATCATCTGGGCACAGAAATCTCTTTTCCAAATATTTCATTTGTGAGGCAAGAGTATTGTTTGTCTTGTTTTTGTTTGGGTTTTTTGCTGGTGTTTTTATTTTGTCAGGGATGTAGCCATTATTTAATTACCAGCCATTGACTCAACATTTGAATTGGATTGGGAGTTCTCCTGATAGGAAAACATATGGTTTGAAAAGACTTCATCCTCAGGGTCCCAACCCAAGTCATAATGGACATAATGGACTCTTGTCAAATGTGAACATTTGAGAAACTCTGCATTTGCTTGTAGAATGTTTCATGATGCTTTTATTTATTCAGTTTTGTGGATCACATACTATGTAATATACGTTGTGATAATTAAAATGTTTTCTACTCAACAAGTTGCAAATTGTCCTTTTTTTTTGGCTTTGTAACAAAATTTATTTACAGCATGCAGCTAAGAGCACGAAGCACTCATTTCTGCCAACTTTGGAAGAACAAAGAAAAACAGTCACTTAGCCTTCCTCAGTGGTTTTTGAGGGAAATCCTTGACAATTAATCCAAATGGAAAGTAGTGAGAATTGTTCAGTTTGCCCAGTCTTGGAAGCGAAAACAGTCACTTGCAATCTTCCAGACTGGCTGGTCACTGTGTGGGGATGGCTGAGCAGTTAACAAGAAATTCTGGTTAAAATATCTCTGTTTGTTTCCATCAAACTTGACTGACCCAGCGGTAACCACCAATAACGTTGTCTGGCCTTGAGTTGCTTGTTCTGTTCAAGGAAAATTGAGAAAAAAAAACATTAGGCACCCTGTACAAGGCAATGGTCCCCATAATAATCTGCTTGGGCAGCTTTTCACTTTTTTTCCACAATTTCATGCAGTTAAAAAAACATGCTACATTGAAAAGAGACAAGGACACAGTGGCCACTGAAGGACAAAATACTCCAGCCTATCAGGTTATCAAGAACACATGCTATGCTTGTCACATACCATGTACGGGCTGACAGTCTAGTGTATGCACTTGAAATTCACTTGAAGGAAGAGACTCGAAAAACTCTCCCAGGGCATCCTGACCAGAAACCGCATTGCCGTTCCACACCAGTGTTGCTTTATCCAGATAGAGCCTCGTCAGGTTCTGAAATGCACATTTCTCTCTTTACATGAGATTAGCAGGACTATAGCATACTACAGCCATTTTGCAGTTTATGGGGAATATTTTGCATAATACAATCACCGAAATGTAAAGTCATTCAGAGTGGTTTCATATGAAATGGAGCACTGTACTCCATTCACTGTGACTGAAATCAAGTGTCACAATGTCTTCAATGCAAATATAATTTTATTTGCCATTCAAAATGACCAGTGAATATTAACAACTAAACAGAACTAAACAAATGTGCAAGCGATAGAAGGTAAACAGACTTCCCCAAAATAAATAAATAAATAAAAAATTTAAAAAAACATCTCGATTGGAAATACAATTTGAGCAGTAAAACTTCTGAAGGACTTGTGTAACTACTGAAAACTAATTTATTATTAACTTAAGGAACTGAAACATCTTAGTACATAAATCACCTATCAACATACAATGTGCGGTTTATTCGTCTTTATGTAAGCTAGACCTCCAGATTGAGAGGTAACCAGCCACAAAGCAGTACAGACGTCATCAACCAATATGATTTTTGAAATTAAATGAATAGGAAAGGAATTAAAGAATGAGTACCTCTATGTTAATGAAAATGTAACTGACTAAAAAGTAAAATACTTTCCTCACAAATATACCTAAATATGAGTAAAAGTATTATGACAGTAGAATGCCCAGTAAAGTACAAATCCATCAAAACTCAACTTGAGTACATTTTAGTAAGTGTACCTACTGTTGTATGCAAAGGTTTGGGTGCCCCTGGTCAAATTACATATTTTGTTGATTTTCTAAGTGACAGTAAGTACACATTTCTACAGGAAACAAATTTTAATTAATTTTATATTTTAGTGGACAATTTCTGTTCAGTAATTGTGCATTAAAATGTGCAGAGCTGTGTTCTCTGTAGAGGAAGGGTTAATTTTTTTCACTTAGAAAATCAAAAATACGTAATGTGATCAGACGTGTTCAAACTTTTGCATTCGACTGTAGTTACTACACACCTTGTGTAATATAATGTGTCAAACCACTCAGAATGACTTTGCACAAATTTTGAAAAAAATGGGCGGAATTCCGCTTTAAACAGAAATCTGCAGTAGCATACTTACTCTCCGTTTTTTATCCATGCAGTCGTAGTAAATATTGACAAACTCCTCTGAGTATCTGCACAACTGATCGACGTGGGTCCTGAAGTCCTGTAGAAGATAAATAAAATAATAATAATGACAATAATAACAATAATAAATGATTCAGCAATGAACAGAGCACTATTAGACAGTTAAGTTAACTGTTAGCCTGATAATAAATTGGGAAAAGACGAGGCTGAAGTTAGCTTCTTATTCGCATTTTCCGTTCCACCTTAAATATTGCGGCGGTAATATTCTGGCTCAGGTACACCGCTGCTGCCTGGACACTCCTGCCCCATTTAAGCTAAGGTGGAATGCAAAAGTCGCATAAACAGCTGGCGAATAAAAAAAAAGGTTCAGCCTGGTGAAAAAAAAATGATAGGTGAAGCTTACAATTGTTGAAGCCATGTTAACAGATCCGCCGGGTATGAATTTCCTCTCGCCTCCCTTCCTTTCTGTGGATTAATCCAGCTCAGGGAACAACTTTTCACCTAGACGTGTGGAAAAGCGCGCGTTAGCAAAACAAAACACGTATTGTTAATAGTAGCTAATAGTAAATGATAACTGAAGCTGACGTCAGCTTTCTTATTTACCGGCTTTTTGTTCTAATTTCCCCGTTATATCTGAAACGGCCCAGCAGTAACTGCTGCACCATTTAAGGTGGAACGGGAAAATACGAACAAGAAACTGGCGAACAGGAAGACAACTTCAGCATCGTTAGCTTAGCTATCTTATGAACATTTCGTCACATAGCGACAATATGAAAAGCGCACACTATCACTAAACCGAAACCAGTCCATTTCAGAGTCCAATTTTAATAATATATAATAATCTAAAGTTCTTACTCTGACAACAGATGTACTGAATCACGCCCGCATTTAATAAAACTAACGCGTGTTCTAGAAAACATTGTCCGTGCGAACCTGCACATCGGACTTTTAGTTCCTTCTTCTGTCCTGCGATCCAATGCTGCAGCAAATAAGAACGGGTTAAGGGGGAATTCCACCTTTTTTCAAAATTACTGAAATAATTCAATCGTCGAGATGTAAACCAAGTCATTGAGAGCGGTCTGCTGTGAAATTGTGCATTGTAAAGTAAACTGTAAACGTACCACCTTCGTTTTCTTTACAGTGGTGGTGATAGGAACCAGGGGACGTGAGGTCTGAAACACACATATACAGCAAATGTAGATATTTTATGTACCATCCAAAACGACCAGCGAATCTAGGTCTTCTGAATATGTAATGTCGACAACAGTAAAATAGTCTTAAATCGTAAAAAAATATCTTTTCTTTGGGTGCTATTTTAGCTTACAGCACCCTACATTTATATGCAATGCTGATGATGATAATATAACATGATGGTCATAAATCTAAAGAAAATGTCTTTAGAGACTTAACACTCTATCTGCCATGAATGGATTAAAATAATGATTAAAATACATTTTAAGACAAAACTTTATCATAAATCTATCATAAAACAGTGCGTCATTTTATCCAATAACTTTCTGAGAGGAGGTTCTCATAGGCATTAAAATGATCAGACTTCTGGTTCCTGTCACCACCACTGTGAACAGTTCTGGCTCTAGAATGGAGTATTTCACATCAAATCACTCTGAATGATTCTGTTTACATCTTAATGATTTAATGTTGTAGATTTTTTGAAAAGTGGCAGAGCTCCCCTTTAATTGTTTCTGAGGTTTGGCTCCTATCACCACAATTCTGACTCAGCGTGTTTCTCTAGAATAGCACGTTTCATGTTAAACCATTCTGGATGACTTTGTTTTCATCGCTGCAAATTATGCAGAAGATGCGAAAAATTGGTGCAATTCTCCTTTAATATATAGATTTAAATTAAATATATATAAGGCAGACCTGTCCAGGGTGTTTCCTGCCTTCCACCCAATGACTGCTGGGATAGGCTACAGCGACCCAGAAGGATAAGCGGCTTAGAAGATGTGTGTGTGTGTGTGTGTGTGTGTGTGTGTGTGTGTGTCAGTAAGGCACTGGTGGTTTTACTTTTTAAAATATATGTGTATATACCTTTATATATAATGTAAAACAGTATACATTTTCATAAACGCTAGCATTATAGTGAGTTAAATATGTGTATGTAATGGACAGTAGTGGGCACTAAAAGATAAACCTTTAGCGTTTTTAGTTGTACTATTAATTTGAAAGCAGGACTTTTTCCACACCGGATGGTTTGAATTTAACGTCCGTTGTTTAGAGCCAAGCAGAGCGGGATTGGTGTGTTTGTGTGGAGTTGGGATGGAGGCTTCAGTGTCTAATTTGGAGATCTGTAATTTAGCCTACACAGGCAAATTTGAGCAGCTGAAGAAATGCATTCTGTCTGACAGAAGTCTGGCGACCAAAACAGACCAGGTGCGAGTTTTACATGTCAGTGAATGAAGAGTGCAGCGGCCGGAATGATTTAGCTTAGCTAGCCTAATGCCTGTCTGCTGAAGTTCAGCACTGAGTAGTAACAGAGCTCTGGTAGTAACTACTTCTAACTGTATTTACTTTCGTTACTGATTTATTCTTCCCGCTTCGTGTAGGATCACAGGACTGCTTTGCACTGGGCCTGTTCAGCTGGACATGTAGATATTGTACAGTTTCTTTTGGATATTGGAGTTGAAGTGAATCTTAAGGATGATGTGAGTCAGCATTTCCACTCATATTCTCAGTATTCTCAGTCAGTCTTTTTATTTGTAACAGTACTTTATGCATAAAACATACATTTAATTTGAACTTTTCTCTAATTTTATATTTTTTGTATCCTTTGACACTGTTTTACGAGCAATTATTTGTTTAAATATTTGTTGTATGAAGTGTTTTACTAAATAACAATTCCTTGTTTTACCTATTAGATATTATTATTACATATTTCTAGAATAATTATTAAATTGTTATTTTTCTATTGTTTTCAGTGCTTTTCTCTGTTTTCTGTTCTTCACTTATGCTGTTTTTATATGCCTTGTTGTAGAGCAACATTGAGCTGCATTTAATGTATGCAATGTGCTGTAAAAATGATAACAGTTTGTTATTATTATTGTTATTATTATTATTATTGCAAAAATGGGATGTGTGTTTTGTCATTATAATGCTAAAGGGGCATTCCAGTTTGACAAAATTTAATTTTTTTTTGTTGTTTTCATGCTTTTAATCATTTGCATTCTCTCCCTACAATACCCAGCATGCATTACACATGTCATTCTAAATTCAGGGTTGTCGAACAATCCTGGCTGCTAGCCCAGCCACTGATCTATAAGCTAATAAATAAAACTAAGTGAACGTCTAATGTTACCTCAGTCATTGGACTATATCATAAAGAGAACTACAGTTTTATATTTATTTAGTATAAAATGGACCAAGAGCAGCAAACAAAAACCTCCCATCTTTAAGATACATCATCAGAAGAGGTTTCCTCATCTTTAAACTAGAAAATCTGACTCTGGAGATTACTGCAGCACTGCTGTAGGATGCGAGTAGGCATGTTTACAGCAGATGGTGTAATAGTTATATTTTTAATTTTGGTCAGAGTGTCCCTTTAGCATCACCTTTATTTCATATATATCAAATATGATTTCAGGCTTCTTGGACCCCTCTACATATCGCAGCTTCTGCAGGAAGAGAAGAAATTGTGAGATCCTTAATAACCAAAGGAGCACAGCTTAACTCAGTCAACCAGAATGGTTGCACCCCTTTACATTATGCAGCATCAAAGGACCGATATGAGGTAGCTTTCATGTTTGCCTTTTCCAGCATTTTATCTGTTTCAGTGTATAATTTTTTCCTAAAATGTGTGTTGTTTAAGTGCATAATGCGTAACTGCATGATCACAATTCTTTAAGATGACAATGATTATTTACCATAGTTGTTAGCTATTGCAATCATTTGTTTACATCACAACAAACAGAAATTTGTTTTTTAAAACATGTCGCTGATCTTAGAAAACGACAAAAGTTTTAACTTCTGACTTAGAGCAAAAACACCTTTCGGGCCAGCAGTGAATAATGTTTGTTTTTATTATTATTTTTATTATTTTCTTCATTTGGGAGCTATTAAGTTTTAACAGTTAGAAAGCAAGATAGCTTATCAGCCAATTTGGCAATTTTAGGGTCGCACTTTAATAAGGCAGTTCATTTTCAGCTAAAATTTCAAGGTTGTGGCAAGCCATGTTTCAGTGTTGTGTAACATTTACACATTTGTAACACTTTTTTGTGACAGATAGCCCTGCTTTTATTGGAGAACGGTGCAGACCCAAATGCTACAGATAAACTAGAATCCACACCTCTACACAGAGCGTCAGCGAAGGGCAACTATCGTCTCATCCAGCTTCTCCTAAAACAGAGCGCTTCTACCAATATACAGGACTCTGAGGGCAACACCCCTCTGTGAGTGCTGTCTCTTTTTACACATGCTCCATTGTTCTGTTTTTGTTTTGTTTGTTTGTTTTGTTTTTTTTTCTGTTTGTTTTTTTATTCAATAAAGCACAGTCTCCTCTATTTTTATCCGTTTTGATGGTAACCTTGTCGCTTTGTTTTCACCAGCCATCTTGCATGTGATGAAGAGCGGGTAGAGGCCGCAAAGCTCTTAGTGGAACATGGTGCCAGCATCTACATTGAGAATAAAGAGGAGAAGACACCTTTACAGATTGCCAAAGGTGGGCTTGGAACTTTGCTTAGGAGGATTGTAGAAGGCTGAGGAATGCCCGGCTGGGCAGTGCACTAGCAGCTTCCTGCTGAACTGGTTTACACAGATGTGATGAGTGAGCGACTAAGTGGATGGTGGACAGCAGAACATTGTTCATGAAAATAAGAAGAGAAGAGAGTGTTATTGACAGGACTTGGGAATGTTAAGTTTAAAAATACAAAATTACATCATGTGGTTTATCCTTAATGTCAAAACATTTTCATTTTTATAGTGTTAAGCTTATAATTTCAGACTTGATAACCAAACAAACACTTCTCTTGCATACCCAGGCCATAGCTAACACATACCATAGGTATTTTGTTCTAAGTAGTTGTACAGGTTTGACAGTATGGAAATCTTCATCACTACAAAGTCATGTAGTTCAAGATGGAAACTATTTTAAAGGAAAATAAAATTAAAAAATGAAATTTAAATTATATTGTTGTAACTTTGATTTCCTGATGTGTTTTTCTATATAAGACACAGTTAACTTCTTTTTATGCCAAATCCACCTGTGGACACCTGTGGATGAAAAATGCTGTTTGAGTCTCATCTGACCAAACAGATGAGAGCGAATAGGACATTGCTTTAATACACGTTCTAATAATGTTTAGCAGACCCCCATCTTTTACCTTTGTGCTGTGAAGAGAGTAGATGTCTTCTTCTTGTTTCCAAACAGCTTGTTGTTCTGGACTGTTCTGGAGACTTAACCCAGAAATTTACAGTACTGTGTAAAAGTCAGAGATCACACACATTATCTAAGCCGCTTATCCTTCTAGGGTTGCGGGGTTGCGAGGCAGAAAACACCCTAGACAGGTCACCATCGCAGGGCAAGTCAGAGATCACCGTTCATTTATTTTATTTCCAGTCACAATGGCCTCTAAGTACAAGTTGTTCATTTTTCAGGAGATATTTCTAAAGGGAGATTAGCTATGATAATCTGCTTCCTTAAGGAAGAGGAAAGTCAAAGGAAAATAAATGGGAAAAAAAGTCGAAATAAATGAAAAAATGATTACAAGAGACTCCTAACAAGCATGCAACAGCTGGTAGATCAGCAAAACTGCCACCATCAGATAAACAGTACATAAAGCTTTCATCTTTGAGAGAGAGGAGAAAATCAAGCTCCTCTCCTGCTTCAGATCTGAAAAATCCACAGGTGTTTCTTTCCATCCTTCCGCTGTGAGAAGACGTCATTTCTATGGATCCGAAAGGATGTGAAGCTATCAAGAAGAAAAGAAAATAGATAAAAAAGAAGAACATTTGCAAATCAAACTAAGAAGCTCAACACCCTCGATCGTGAGAAGCAGAAAATGCAGCCAAGACTGAAATTTGGAGCAGTGATGGGGAGTCGATTGCAAAAGAATCTACACTTTGTCCTACAAGTCTAGGAGCCAATGACTCTAAGAGTTGTAGTTTGAATAAGCATTTGTTTGTTTAATTGCCAGGCTTTAAACAATGTCAGAGCTGCACACCAGCTGCTCTGCATCCCACTCTACATTTTCTTCATTCTTAGAGTCACAATGATGATTAGAAACAGTACAAAGAACAGAAACCTAAACCAAAAACAAACAATATTTTTCACAGAAAAGAGGATGAAGCTGAGATTTGCTCCTTATTTGCCGGCTTCTTATTCAAATTTCCGTTCCACCTTAAATGGCACTGCCGTTACATTCTGGCACCTGTGCACTATTAAGGGAACTGCTGCAGACTGAATAAGAAGCTGGCGAATATAACCCAACTTCAGCTTTGACAGTAGAGGAAAAAAACTGCATTCAACTGCATCCGACCGGTTCCTTTTCAAAGATTTGAAAAATCATTTGAAAATGGTTCTTTTTTGAAGAACTACAGCATATGACTCTTAGTTAAAATGAAGTGGAGTTGAGGAGTCGACTCCATCATTTCCAACGGCAGGAGTCGAGAGGCTGAGTTGACTCTAGGAAACAGCGAGTCATGCACCATTACTTTGGAGGTGTGGAAAAATATCTCTGCATATTTGTTTAAAAAATTGAAAGCAAGTCTCCTGAAAAGAATGGAAGCTGTAAAAAAAGTGAAAGGGTGGACAAACTAAATACTGAAAAACTGAAATGATATTTAGTTGTTGAGGCTTCTGTGTAACTTTCTGTTAAATATATATGTTCTGCATTTTTTTTCCTGACTCTGAAAAAAAAGAACTTGTGCTTAATAGCTGTTTTGACTGGAAGTGAAGTAAATGAAGGGTGTTGTCTGAGTTCTCCTCAGTACTTTATATGTAAACTATTCTTCTTGAAACAACTTTTAACCTGATTAGAGGTCTTGTTTCTCCCACACTATGAATATAAGAGCAAGATAGATAAGAGTAAGACTAAGTAATTGATTTTTTAGTAATCTTTTAATAGGTGCCTGTACTTTCAGACAGAAGAATGTATGCAGTTCAGTCTCACAAGAAGAGGCATGGTTTCAAAAGGGTAATGATTATCAAATAACTACTCAGTTAGAAAACTGGAGTCTACGTTGCTGTGAATTGGGTGGTTGAAGTGAAATGAATACTGAAATTTCTTACCACACTCCACAGTGAAACTGCAATAGAAACCAAACATATGTGGGACTCACAATGGGTAAAATCAAGACTTCAGGTAGCACATTGAAGGATATCGCTGTTGTCGGAAGAAAACCTTGTATGTATTACATTTTTCAGTTTTTGACATAATTTGAAAATGCCTGTTACTCTTTACATTGTGTGAAAATTACATGATGAATGGGCCAAAAGAAATGACCCAGAATTACTTGGAAAGACGTGTGGTTCCACTGACTTACATTAAAAGTAAAGTAAGTTTTTTCCTTCTCCTGTGAAGTTACCATTTCAGAGGTACAAGGTTTTCTTCCGACAACAGCAATATGTTTTATAAAATCATTAAACAATCACCAGTTTTCATTCCTCCACACTCTTGTCGCTGCATATGCCCATTTGCATCTGGTCATCTTTTTCATTGCGCCATCTATTAACTCTGGACAGAAGATTTAATTATGCTTGATATCTCTGTCATAGACTGCCTTTAAGTTTTTCGTCTCTGTGATCGGTTATAAACCACATGGGTGTCAGCTGGGCAGTGCTGAGAGGGCTCATATGTGCCCATTTGTGTGAAAGTAGCTCATGGACTTTTGCAGAACAAAAGGTAGAAGCTCGACAGAAGTTGTAGGGAAGTGGTAAACCCAACCTCTTGCTCCAGATATGTCAGTTTCTCAGCCTCCCCCATGGAGAAGAGGTTTCTCTCTGATGTTTCTCTTTTGCCTAGGTTTGTAATTTTTGGAGGTCCTTAATGTATGCGGTACACTAGTCACTATTGTTTTTTTCTTTTTTCCTCCACATTTGCCGCAATATGTGCTGTAGTTTCAAATGCATGACTAAACACTGACTGGAATTTCTGACACTTGCTGAATGTCATAGATTCTTTATGTTTGGAATCTTAAAAATCTTAAGAATCTCACTTCACAGTGCGTTTGTGTCACACATCGCATTTCTATCTGTTACACCTCAATGAACTTTATGTACTGAATGTGCTTGAGCTCGTTGTTCTTGTGTTATGTATCACTTACTTCATCCCAATGACTCTCCATGGGAACATGCCAAATACAATTACTTTCACAACAGTATATGCAGTATATTCTAAGAGGGCATAAAGAATCAGAACTATGTAACCTAAAATAAAAGGTTTAGATGTATGGATGTGTTTATCTTTAATTTATCTACAGGAATGCAGCCCAAAAATTGCTAGGAAACATATCTGAATTCTTATTTCTTTTTATATAAAAGTACAAAAGGCCACATATCATGGAAAACTGAATTTTCTGACCCGTTCATGCCGAAATTATAAGGAATGTTTCCAGACTGCTTTTTGAATGAGGCACAGAACAAAACATCTAATCAGAACAGAGCTCATTTACATGTATCAGTCCTAAAGGCACAGTACCAACAACAGCCTGTTTAAAAGATAAAAAGAGGTTGAAAAATGGTCATGTAAAAATGAATTATGGCTGTTTTTGTTACATAATGCAAAATGCAATGTCTTAAGCAGACTAAAAAATCTAAGAAAAAATTATATATATTATAGATATGGTATCTTTAAATTCAGCACAGTAAATGGCCATTTTGGTTTGGTTTGATTATCTCAGGTTATTTGACATCATTTCAACCATTGTGCGCATGACAGTATCGTGCATGTATAGTTCAGGTCGTATGGCCCTGTAATATTCAGAAGTTTGTTACATCTTAAATTTAATTAATAAGTTACCCATTTGGTCATTCTGGTTGTGTCTGGAATCTTTTATTCCACTTTTGTAGTTTCAAACAAACCACATATCAGTTCGGTCATGAATATTTACGTCACCACAAAAGTCCAACCATTAAAATATAGCCTGAAGAGGATGTGGAAGTTTCCCTCATGCAGCACACTGGTGCTAAATGGGACATGGATGCCTTTTTTCCACTTACTTCTGGTGTGTATGTCTATACACGGTGCTGTGAAAAAGTATTTGCCCCCTTCCCAATTTCTTCTGTTGTTGCATTTTTGTCACATTTGAATGTTTCAGATCATCAAACTACATTTAGTATTAGACAAAGTTAGCCCAAGTAAACATAAAATGCTGTTTTTAAATGATAATTTCATTTATAGAAGAAAAATTCTGTTCAGCCCTACCTGCCCCTATGTGAAAAACGAATTGCCCTTTAGCTACTAAATCAAAACTGCCACCATCAGATAAACAGTACATAAAGCTGTCATCTTTGAGAGAGAGGAGAAAATCAAGCTCCTCTCCTGCTTCAGATCTGAAAAATCCACAGGTGTTTCTTTCCATCCTTCCGCTGTGAGAAGACGTCATTTCTATGGATCTGAAAGGATGTGAAGCTATCAAGAAGAAAAGAAAATAGATAAAAAGGAAGAACATTTGCAAATCAAACTAAGAAGCTCAACACCCTCGATCGTGAGAAGCAGAAAATGCAGCCAAGACTGAAATTTGGAGCAGTGATGGGGAGTCGATTGCAAAAGAATCTACACTTTGTCCTACAAGTCTAGGAGCCAATGACTCTAAGAGTTGTAGTTTGAATAAGCATTCGTTTGTTTAATTGCCAGGCTTTAAACAACGTCAGAGCTGCACACCAGCTGCTCTGCATCCCACTCTACATTTTCTTCATTCTTAGAGTCACAATGATGATTAGAAACAGTACAAAGAACAGAAACCTAAACCAAAAACAAACAATATTTTTCACAGAAAAGAGGATGAAGCTGAGATTTGCTCCTTATTTGCCGGCTTCTTATTCAAATTTCCGTTCCACCTTAAATGGCACTGCCGTTACATTCTGGCACCTGTGCACTATTAAGGGAACTGCTGCAGACTGAATAAGAAGCTGGCGAATATAACCCAACTTCAGCTTTGACAGTAGAGGAAAAAAACTGCATTCAACTGCTTCCGACCGGTTCCTTTTCAAAGATTTGAAAAATCATTTGAAAATGGTTCTTTTTTGAAGAATTACAGCATATGACTCTTTCTTAGTTAAAATGAAGTGGAGTTGAGGAGTCGACTCCATCATTTCCAACGGCAGGAGTCGAGAGGCTGAGTTGACTCTAGGAAACAGCGAGTCATGCACCATTACTTTGGAGGTGTGGAAAAATATCTCTGCATATTTGTTTAAAAAATTGAAAGCAAGTCTCCTGAAAAGAATGGAAGCTGTAAAAAAAGTGAAAGGGTGGACAAACTAAATACTGAAAAACTGAAATGATATTTAGTTGTTGAGGCTTCTGTGTAACTTTCTGTTAAATATATATGTTCTGCATTTTTTTTTCCTGACTCTGAAAAAAAAGAACTTGTGCTTAATAGCTGTTTTGACTGGAAGTGAAGTAAATGAAGGGTGTTGTCTGAGTTCTCCTCAGTACTTTATATGTAAACTATTCTTCTTGAAACAACTTTTAACCTGATTAGAGGTCTTGTTTCTCCCACACTATGAATATAAGAGCAAGATAGATAAGAGTAAGACTAAGTAATTGATTTTTTAGTAATCTTTTAATAGGTGCCTGTACTTTCAGACAGAAGAATGTATGCAGTTCAGTCTCACAAGAAGAGGCATGGTTTCAAAAGGGTAATGATTATCAAATAACTACTCAGTTAGAAAACTGGAGTCTACGTTGCTGTGAATTGGGTGGTTGAAGTGAAATGAATACTGAAATTTCTTACCACACTCCACAGTGAAACTGCAATAGAAACCAAACATATGTGGGACTCACAATGGGTAAAATCAAGACTTCAGGTAGCACATTGAAGGATATCGCTGTTGTCAGAAGAAAACCTTGTATCTCCATTTTTCAGTTTTTGACATAATTTGAAAATGCCTGTTACTCTTTACATTGTGTGAAAATTACATGATGAATGGGCCAAAAGAAATGACCCAGAATTACTTGGAAAGACGTGTGGTTCCACTGACTTACATTAAAAGTAAAGTAAGTTTTTTCCTTCTCCTGTGAAGTTACCATTTCAGAGGTACAAGGTTTTCTTCCGACAACAGCAATATGTTTTATAAAATCATTAAACAATCACCAGTTTTCATTCCTCCACACTCTTGTCGCTGCATATGCCCATTTGCATCTGGTCATCTTTTTCATTGCGCCATCTATTAACTCTGGACAGAAGATTTAATTATGCTTGATATCTCTGTCATAGACTGCCTTTAAGTTTTTCGTCTCTGTGATCGGTTATAAACCACATGGGTGTCAGCTGGGCAGTGCTGAGAGGGCTCATATGTGCCCATTTGTGTGAAAGTAGCTCATGGACTTTTGCAGAACAAAAGGTAGAAGCTCGACAGAAGTTGTAGGGAAGTGGTGAACAAACTTTCCACAGTTCAGGTTCTTCCTTTTTCCCAGGTCCGTGGGTTGATGATCATGGCACATTTCCCATAGTGAGCACTCAGCACAGTTCTTGAAATATGTCCTTGTATGGCTTCGGAAACATGTCACATAAATGAAAGAGCAGCTTGTAGTTTCGGTAAACCCAACCTCTTGCTCCAGGTATGTCAGTTTCTCAGCCTCCCCCATGGAGAAGAGGTTTCTCTCTGATGTTTCTCTTTTGCCTAGGTTTGTAATTTTTGGAGGTCCTTAATGTATGCGGTACACTAGTCACTATTGTTTTTTTCTTTTTTCCTCCACATTTGCCGCAATATGTGCTGTAGTTTCAAATGCATGACTAAACACTGACTGGAATTTCTGACACTTGCTGAATGTCATAGATTCTTTATGTTTGGAATCTTAAAAATCTTAAAGAGATTAAAGAAAGAATCTCACTTCACAGTGCGTTTGTGTCACACATCGCATTTCTACCTGTTAGACCTCAATGAACTTTATGTACTGAATGTGCTTGAGCTCGTTGTTCTTGTGTCACGTATCACTTACTTCATCCCAATGACTCTCCATGGGAACATGCCAAATACAATTACTTTCACAACAGTATATGCAGTATATTCTAAGAGGGCGTAAAGAATCAGAACTATGTAACCTAAAATAAAAGGTTTAGATGTATGGATGTGTTTATCTTTAATTTATCTACAGGAATGCAGCCCAAAAATTGCTAGGAAACATATCTGAATTCTTATTTCTTTTTATATAAAAGTACAAAAGGCCACATATCATGGAAAACTGAATTTTCCGACCTGTTCATGCCGAAATTATAAGGAGTGTTTCCAGACTGCTTTTTGAATGAGGCACAGAACAAAACATCTAATCAGAACAGAGCTCATTTACATGTATCAGTCCTACAGGCACAGTACCAACAACAGCCTGTTTAAAAGATAAAAAGAGGTTGAAAAATGGTCATGTAAAAATGAATTATGGCTGTTTTTGTTACATAATGCAAAATGCAATGTCTTAAGCAGACTAAAAAATCTAAGAAAAAATTATATATATTATAGATATGGTATCTTTAAATTCAGCACAGTAAATGGCCATTTTGGTTTGGTTTGATTATCTCAGGTTATTTGACATCATTTCAACCATTGTGCGCATGACAGTATCGTGCATGTATAGTTCAGGTCGTATGGCCCTGTAATATTCAGAAGTTTGTTACATCTTAAATTTAATTAATAAGTTACCCATTTGGTCATTCTGGTTGTGTCTGGAATCTTTTATTCCACTTTTGTAGTTTCAAACAAACCACATATCAGTTCGGTCATTAATATTTACGTCACCACAAAGTCCAACCATTAAAATATAGCCTGAAGAGGATGTGGAAGTTTCCCTCATGCAGCACACTGGTGCTAAATGGGACATGGATGCCTTTTTTCCACTTACTTCTGGTGTGTATGTCTATACACGGTGCTGTGAAAAAGTATTTGCCCCCTTCCCAATTTCTTCTGTTTTTGCATATTTGTCACATTTGAATGTTTCAGATCATCAAACTACATTTAGTATTAGACAAAGTTAGCCCAAGTAAACATAAAATGCTGTTTTTAAATGATAATTTCATTTATAGAAGAAAAATTCTGTTCAGCCCTACCTGCCCCTATGTGAAAAACGAATTGCCCTTTAGCTACTAAATCAACTGGTTAACCCAAGGGTTACATATGGCTCTTTTACTGCACTGTTGCAGATCCACAGCAGAATTAGATTTAGACAAAAATAAAATATTCCTCTTTTGCAATAAAAAAACCTGCTGATTGTTCCAACACAGTTTTAACAAGAAATGGTTTAACTGAATTAACTGAAACGCTGGAGTTAATGTATAACAGCTAATTCACCAACCGTTAACCCTGAAGGGTTGGCACGCAGACTCCTGGTCACCATAGCAACGCATACAGGATTCTCACCTAGCTAGTAGCTAACGAAATGGCAAAGAGAAAGATTTAAGATGAACATCGGTCATTTGGAGAGGAATGGACTTATTTGTGTTTATAATCACTACAGCTGGTTTCCTGATACATTAATCTGCAACAAGAAACTGTCAAACACTAAAAAGTAACGAAGCTGAGCATCTTCTCATTTACCAGCTTCTTGTTCGAATTTTCCCGTTCCACCTTAAATTCCCACAGATATGTTCCAAAATCTTGTGGAAAGCCTTCCAAGAGTAGTGGAGGCTGTTATAGCCACAAAGGGGCCGACTCCATATTTCCATATTAGTGCTCTTGGTTTTGGAATGGGATGGTCAGATGTCCACATACTTTGGCCATACAGTGTATGTGCTGAAAAACCATGAGAAGCAAAGAAAGCTAATTTATTAACAACCTTTTTTTTTGAATAACTTAGGCAGAGTAGACTATTGTACTGAAATTGGTCTTCTGTGGTATCATTCAAACTGCTCTGTGGTATCATTCATTTATTCTAATCACAGGAATCACTTCAGTAAGGCAGTAAAAATATAGTAGCAACAGAAAGGAAGAGGCAGGACCAGGAAACATCTTAAACCAGTGGGAATGCTCTTTATTAGGTTGCTCACACTTACAGAGGCTGAAACGTACTTGGTGGCTAGCATAAGGACTACTACTCTAGGGGACAAAGACTGCCTGTCTCCTGCTCGCGGTAACAATAAACAAATAAGCATAATGTGCCAGTATGACATTTACTGACAGTCAAACTTGACACTCTTCACTTATCGACATTAACTCTAGAAAACACAGCTGAAAGGTTACAGGTGGCCGCTAGGCCTACAAGAGAATGCAAATAACCTGTTGACCACACACAATGTAGATTAGCAGCAGAATGTGTAGTTTACATGAAAACAGTAAAAAGAAATAAGTAAACAAATAAAAAATACAACGGGAAAAAAAGTTATTTTTGCGAGTTTGAAATCTTCAGTAATATGTAAAAATGATTTTTATTTCTTTTCATACATTTAAGAAAGGTAAAAAAGAGTTTTTTTCTGAAAACAATTGAAGCATAGATGTCATTATTTTTATTAACAAACCTCTTTGTTTCAGACAAAAGACAAAGGCGTTTTATACAGAGAACTTCGTGATGTCAATCAAAAAACGTAAGGCATTTCGTCATGCTGTGCGTCACTTCCGCGTTACAGACGTCCTTTTAATGGTCCCTCGGTGCTGTAGCAGCGCAGTCCTCCGAACAGGGCAAGGGTGTCTGAAAGTTATAGTTTCTCAACGGGAACATCATACAGACGACTGATATCACCAGAAGGTAAGTTAATAGTCACGTCGGTGGTTTTTTAAACTGCAGTTGCTTCGCTAACGTCAGTTAGCTTAAGCTGCTTCCGAACCGTCTACGCTCCAACTGCAGCGCGACCAGAGATCAGAGCGAAACTGTTTACTGGATATTGATCACATCTAGGCTCTTTTATCCATTTAACTCAGCCGTATCGGTATTGGAGAAACTGATCTTGCTGATAAGATACAGAAGAGCTGGTTTTGTCAGCAGTGAGTGAGCTTTAGGGGCCGGTTTGTGCGGTTAGGTTTGGGGAGTCCAGGGTTCAGTCCAGCAGTGACGCCTGTGATTAGCTGTTAGAGTAATGTAGCTGAGATGAGATCAGATCAATAAAAGGACTGGAGGATTTATTGCCACACAGGACAAGAGCTGATAAAACAGAACACGTTTTCAGGTGAGGAAAATTCCAGAAAATTCCGCGTGTTCATCTGTAGACTGCAAACTACTAAACTGTGTACTAGGTGATTCCCCAATTACATTTGCTTTGCACAAAAATTTGCATTAGAGTGCGTTTACCATCCTGTAACAGTCATCTGCAAAATTTTGGGCGTCCCCGATCAAATTACGTGTTCTGTTGATTTTTTTTAAGTGAAACTAAGTACCGTACACACCCTCAGAATAATTTCATGCATAATTACTGTGTATTTTCTGAATTTAACATATTAGGAAAAAACTAAAATGTGACAGGTAACCTACAAATGTTATTACACATTTAATGTTTTCACCCAATATACCAATATGTTAAATTTAGGAAATAAATGAGCAGGAAAGCGACATATTTAAGTTCGTTTAATGTAGAGGATTCACTTTACTTGTTCACTTATCTAACCTAGCTGATTTGGCCTGGGATACAAACCTTTGCGTTCGGCTGTATGAATGCAAGTTATACGCTTGCAGAAGACAGAGCTGGACCTTTTTGAAGCAGATGTTTATGTACACACTTCGTCTCTAGTCAGGTAGCAAATGGTGAGGGCCGTCCTGTATGTCATCACACCTTTGTAGGGAGTCAGTTCCCGTACGGTATGTACGCCTGTCACACCCTTGTTTGCCTGTGCTTGACAACGACCACAAGCTAGTTACTCAACAGTTCCCTGCTAAGTGTGCTAAAAGGCGCGTGTGTTTGACTAATTTGGAGGCAGTGGTTTCATAAGCGCTCTATGCGGGTAGCGATCCTTGTTCAGAAATGTACGGTATTTAGTTTTCCTCTAATGCCACACAAAAAACAGGAGAGTGGGCGAAGCGAATTGAAGTGTTTGGGTGTAAACCTCTAACGAGCTGCGTCGGACCACCCGTCACATGTTGGAGGCGCGGTGTGCATGTGACTCAACGCTGCTCCCGTGCTTAAAGGCGCAATGTCCCAAAATATAACCGTTTAAAGGAGAGTTATACTGTTTTATCAATTTCAGAATAAACAAATCGTTGTTGTGTAAAAAAGCTGTTCGAAGTATTGTGATGTGAAATTGAATGGTGTTTCATAGAAACGCATCGACTTTTTTCACAGTGGTGTTGAAGGGATCCAGGGGTCATGATGTTTACAACGCAAAAACAGGCATTTTATCTGCTATCCAAAATGACCCATGAACCTACATGTGTCTTCTGAGTTTTTATGTATGGTTGATAAAGGTTTAAAGTGTTAAATCTTAATTTGCCTTGCCTTAAGGCTACTCTTGTGACAGTTACTGTAAATTAGAAACTTTCCCTGCTAAAAGTGAAAGCTGAATTGCGGTGTAAAATGTGACCAATTTCTTGTGGGTGCAAATCACTCTAATTTGTGACATTAACCAGGGAATATCCCGCTTACGGAACCTTTCATTCTCTGTTTCTGTTCTTAGTCAATGTTTTTTAGTCCTAAAAAGTACCTGTTTTATCAAATACATATAAACTACTTCACCAAGCAAAGAAAACAAGGTTAACCAAGGTTTGCTTGTTTTCACAACCTACTTAGGTACTCTACTTTTTTCCCCTCTCTTTTTAGGCAGTCGCACTCACTGTGACAATGGCTGATTCTAGTGTTGGCACAATTGAAACTGATGATGGTCTGCAGGACTGGTCAGCAATGAGTACGAGGCTGAACTCTTTCCAGGCCTTTCCCCTAGTTCAAAAGGTTTCTGCAGAGAGACTGGCCCGGGCAGGTTTCTACTTCACAGGAGAGTCTGACCGGGTACGCTGCTTCAGCTGCCAGAAAATAGTGGAGAACTGGCACCAAGGGGACACCCCAGTAGAAAGACACCGCGAGGTCTCGCCTGCCTGCAAGTTCCTCATCTGTGCTCACAGGAGGAACCCCTTAGATGGTCACTCTTCTCAGACCACTGACTATAACGAAGAGGAGGAAGCCATGGAGTTCAGTCTCCGCACAGGAGAGATTGTGGATGAGACTGTATACCCCATGGTTCCGCATATGAAGAGCGAAGAAGCTCGGCTGAGGACATTTGACAACTGGCCCTCGTGGGCCCCGGCCCGGCCCACTGACCTTGTGCAGGCTGGGCTGTTTTATGTGCCAGAGACTGACGGGGAAACAGACCGGGTGCAGTGCTTTTGCTGTGGTGGCATGCTGACAGGCTGGGAAGAAGGTGATGTTCCCTGGGCTGAGCATGCTAAATACTACCAAAACTGCTTCTTCATCCTGGGCCATGATGTTGGGAACATACCCTCGGAGCTGGTCAGGCAGAGGAGCTTTGGCAACAGACGTTCCATGGAAGTCTTTGAGGAACGCCTTGACAGCTTTAGAGACAGACAGCATCCCATCAGTCATGAAAGGCTGGCCAGAGCTGGCTTTTATAGTACAGGTGAGGCTGTCTTCTGCTTTTAGCATTGCATAATCATTTCTGTTTCTTTTCATTTTTGAATAAAACTAGGTGCTGGTTACATGTTACTTCTTCTGTAGTAATGGAAGACCATGTCCTATGGTGTTGCTGTATCAGATGTAGAGCAGTGTTTGAGAATTGCATTGTGGTGATCTGACTTTTGTCTCTGTTGTCTATGCAGGTGAGCAAGATCGTGTGATTTGTTTTAAATGCGGAGGAGGTCTGAAGGACTGGCAGCCAAATGAGGATCCTTGGGAGGAGCATGCCAAGCACTATCCTGGGTAACTGGCTAATTCAGATCAATATTTGCAGGAACATACAGAGTAATTCAGTGCTGACGCATTAAATGGTTAGTTTGTGACACAAGCACAGTGTATTACATAGTGGAGTTCAGTAAGGTTATTTATGTTGTTTCACAACTAAGCAAATGTCAATTTTCCACATGCAGATGCAGTTTCCTGCTTGAAGAGAAAGGGCAAGAATTTGTCAACAGTGTGCAGCTGGGAAGTCCTAGAAGCCGCTATCCAGTGAGTAAAGTGAATCACTCCACACAATATTACTGTAATGTGGAATGTATATTTGACTTCCTGTCTAAAGAACTTCATTCCATCATCAAGGTGAATGCTAATTCTGATTATTCATATTTTTTTAATCTTATCTTCTAGAATTCAAGTAGTGAGAATGGATTTTCAAGTCATGAGAAAGGTAAGTACATCTGATATACAACAATTGAAAGTCAGCATGTGTTTTCAAACTTGATATCTGGCATGGAACCTTTGTCACATTATTTTTATTTTTTTCTTTTCTATGACAGCATCAAACGTAATGCAGTCGGAGATTGCGCAGAAAGCAGTTGCAATGGGTTTCGACCCAGTTAAGGTGGAACGGATAATTTTAGAAAAGATACGTCTGAGCAGTGAGGGCTATTCCAAAGTGGAAGATCTCATTCAAGATATCAACAACAGTGTGTTTGATAGTGATTCCGATTGTAAGTGCATTGCTTCATTCTTTAATTTTTTCTTCAAACTTCATTATTCAAATTTCTGTTTCGGACATTGTTGCTGTGCACAAAATCAGACTCTAATCTAGTTAAACACAAGGTGTTTTATATATATATTTTTAAACTCCGGTTTTTCCAAACACCAATGGTGTACTGTTTTTTAAATCCTTTCAAGCTTCCACTATTTCTCTTTGTAAGGCTCCTTATTAATGCAAGTACAATTGTGTAAATAGTATTTTTGTTCTTCTGGGTTTCAGCCGAGGACCCCTTGAAGAAACTGGAGAAGCTCCAACGTGAAAAGCTCTGCAAAGTGTGCATGGATGATGACATTTCTATCGTCTTCATCCCATGTGGGCATTTGGTCACCTGCAAGAAATGCTCTGATTCTGTTGACAAGTGCCCCATCTGCTGTGCTGTCATCACACAGAAAATCAAAACATATAGCTCTTAACTTCCAATGGACTCAAACTCTAATAGAAAAGCTGCTTTCACAATCAGTTTTCAGCATTCCTTAAAATTGCACATATGGATATATTTGTTTAATGACTTGTACATAAACAGGGATAGCATTGGATTTATACTTTCTACTATATCATGGTGAATAATTTTTGTACGTTTGCCATAGATCAGGGCAAAGATACACTACAGACAAACTGAACTATGCTAAAAGGGAACAGTGCGAATGCTTTTTACAATCGCTCTTACTTCTCCAGGGTAAATTCGCTTTGTGTTCAGCGCATATACATTTATGACTGTTTTCTGCAGTTCAGAGGATCCTGTATTATGCAGTCAGTGGGTACTTCACACTGTCTTTTCCAGTGTTCTAGGCAGTGGTTAGAGTCTGTCTGCCTGCATGACCAAGTGGCAGGCCTGCCAGTGAGAGAGGACCCCTGCCATACCCACACTGTGAGGACAAGGCGTACTGCTCTTAGTAATTCTCACAATCAAACTACAGCCCAACTCTTCCTCTGTAGGATCATGGAAATGGAATATAATCAGGCAATCATAGCTTGTTGAGCTATTCTGGAGCTGCCGTAAGGGGGATTTTTGTTAGAGAATCCTGGTTGTTGAAACATATTATCTGAAAACATAATCCTGAAAGTGCATTGTTAGGGCACAATGAAGTTTAATTTCAGATGGGTGAACTGCAGAAATTCAGAGTGCCTTTCTCTTGATGTAATGAATTATTGTTTTTCAATTTTGTCCTATTCAATTACTATTGATGTAGTTTGTTGTTTAATGTCCTGTACTTGTAATTCTTATTGCTTCGATATCACATTTAATAATGTGTGTAATGTTTGGAAAAAAATTTCATTTTTTTTAACCATAGTTTCTTAATTATGTTTGCTAATAGATTTTAGTGCAGTAGAGTGTTTTTACAACATGTATTTGTATAACACCGGACAATAAAATGAGAATTTATATTTCACAGTGGTATTTACGTCTGCACTAGGGGAACCACATAGGAAATGCAAAATCAACACACACTGTCACTGTACCAATATGTCAGGTTTTTAGAAACTGTTGGTGTTTACAAGGTTGTTTCAATGGGGTATAAACATGAGATGACAGAATGTGGCTAAATCAATTCAAAACCTTCATAAATACAATTTGGGCAAAAACAAAATGGCTGATGATGTTTAAAATATGTAATGAGACGAGTCTGGAAGAAGGACTGATGGACTATGTAGACGAATGTTTCTGGAAAACATTTGTGTTCTTTGTGTGTGTGTGTGTGAGAGAGAGAGAGTCCCCAACACAGGTGGATAGTTCAAAAGACAGAAATTGGATGTAGTTGTATATCGAATCTCCAAAACAATGATGAATCAACCATCATGCCAAAAAGCAGTTAACAGAAAGACTCTGTTCTCATCAAACCTCAAACGTAAGCTCCTGGAATTTGATAAATGCCACTAGAACTTTGGATCTGGTTCTGTGGTTGAATGAGAGGGGAGGTTCTTGAACCCAATCCCCACTGTGGCATGGTGATGGATATTTGATGCAACATGTCTGTTTTGCTTCCAGAGGAACTTGGAAACTTCTTAGGCACCATGGACACTTACCAGGTTTCAGAGCTCTTGACTCCTTCAGCCAGAAGACTAGTACTGGATTGTCTTGGATCTTTTAGAAAGGTAATGATCCTAAGCACTACTCTAGATCCATGCAGCTGATCCTCAGTGATTAAAAATCTAACTTTTGCAAAGGTCTTTTCCAATGGCAAGCCTGTGCTGAAACACAGAGGCCCTCAAACAAGAACCAAGGACTTTGTGACATCTGAAGATATTCTGCATGATGTGTAATGGTATCAGATCCGTTGCTGTATGTTCTCCCACCTCAAATTATTATAGAAAACAGTGCGCTAATTACTGCATTTATTATTAATTAACACATACCTATGATACCTCTGCACACAGGAAAAATACAGTTTTCCCAATGATTCCTCTTACTAAGATCATACAATTTTCTCATGATGTTGAGCACAGAAAATATTCTACAAAGAATAAGTGAATGTCTATTTTTGCTCAGCTGAGTGTCAGTGAATCACTGTGCAGAAGCACATCTACACTCTTAGCCATTTACAACAGAGTTTCCATCATAGGAATAATTTAAGCATGTAAAACAATGTATTCACCCAAATGGCTCTTTCAGTTGTTACGGTTCTATGTATAAGCATTGCCTTTACTAAAGGACCACTATTTTTTTTCTATCTACTTGGTTAACTTCTATATGAAATTCCTGTCCGGCTACCGTATTACTAACTTGACCGTTAGATGTCACTCCTTATCCACTCCGAAGGGTCACCGCCATCTGACCACCAGGTGGCAGCTTTGTACTGTTTCTCGTCTCAATCATCGAAACAACAAACCGAACGGAGCAAACGGGGTGAGATAGAGCGAGGGAGAGAGAGAGAGTGAGAGAGTCTAAAACAGCTTCTGACCGCCACTTTCAAACTACGTCCATGAATCAGTCTTGGATTTTCGTTCAGTGCAAGTAGCGCATTAGCGAAATCTACAGGAAGCCGTGCAGTCGCTGAATTCAACGCTGTTAAGTAGGTAAGTTGAAAAATGGCGGAAAACGTTTGTAGAAGTTGGTCGGGTTAGCGATATTTTTCACTGGTGCGCCGAGCTGCAGCTAGCGCCGTGTGTGTGTGTGGCCAAATACGCGGGGACTGGTTCCGACAGCAGAGGAGTCGGTTTAGCCTGCTAAAAAAGCTAGGCAGAATATAACCACCGCGCACCTAAACTGGTTAGAATTGCACCGTGAAACCTCGCAGAGTGTCGTTGTAAATGTGACCTACTCTTGGAGAATGTCAGTAATTAGGATCGTAGGCCACTTCCGCGGTATTTGTGTGAACTGTTTTGTTGACGTGCCTGGCTAGCTTGCTAACTAAACACAGCGAGCTGAGCTAACCAGCAGCCACCATGGCGAAACTGGAACACAAATTCAGAAGCAAGATGGAGGACGGGGATGCGATGTTTTTCCCCTCACGTGAAAAAGGGAAAATTGTTTTCGCTCGAACAAAAAAAAAATTGAATACTGAATGTCTTGTATTAAACTCACATCTTTGATAGATATAATTTACTAAGGATAAACACAAGTTAATCGTAACGTGACTTCCGCGGCTTGCGTTTACAATGACTGAATATGAGCTGAGCCAAAATGGAGAATCCCGAAAACAGCTGCTGGATTGGTTTCAAGATGGAGATTTTTTTTCCTCTCCGCGTTTCCTCGTTAACTTGTTTATTATTACGAAATTTTTGTTCTACTTTCGCTGTGAACTGAGCTGAAAACAAGTTATTTGGTATTGCGAAATCGGTATTGTGCCTAACACCGCGGAAGAACCAACTTAAATTGTTGTGTGGAACATGATTGATAAGGGGGGAGTTTGTGTCCATCCGTTCTTTCGTCCCACTCCACCAGAGCTAGCGCGCTAACCCTGAAGGCTGACTGACTGAACGGGCTTCACTTTATTATTGATGACGTGCCGTAATGTTAGTTGGATGGATTTCTCAGTTGGCAGGGATTTTAACGGGGTAAATTAAATGTGTGCTGCTGTGAAGACGCGAACTAACTCTTGAACATTTCCCAAACTAACTAGGTAATGTGGGCAGACTTGCTGACGCTAACTTTGCAGAGGATGTCCAGGCCAAGTGCGTACACTCAACAAATGTTTGACAGTCGCCGGCATAAGCTAACGTTGCTAAGCTATTGATTTCTCAGTCAAGCTTTGCGATTTTCACGCTGCTCTCTGGGCTTTGATGCATAACATTACGTGTTTATGAAAACTTGCTCTTATTTGTGTTGTTGGAGTAGCGACCTTTAACGTAGCCGAGCCGGAATGTCACGGGGGCTGCGTCGTAATTGTTGTTAGCTTCGTTTGGCGCCACTTTTCAAGGAGTGGATTTTCCAATTTTCCTAAATGAAGAGCTTCCTAGTCTTCCAACTGTGTTTTTTTTCTGCGCATTATACTGTTTTTTTATTATTGAATTAGATAAAGATATGAGGCTATAGCTTGTTACTGAGTGGACATTACATAACCGCAGCAGTGCTGCACCGCAGATATGGATTTTAAAACACGTAGGTTATCCTTCAGTTTAAGTTGCCCTCCGTAATTGGCTTCAAGCGTGTAAGATCTGACTTGTAGTACAGGATGTTTTGTTGTGATGCTTTGTTCCAGCGTTGTCCGTGAAATCTGTAGAGCTTGGCAGTATCATCACGGGGTTCGTCACGGTATCCGTTACTCGCACATATCCAGCTGAATTAAATTTCTCATAAGTCGCCCTGAAAGACGCTCCGTTTAGTTGTTATCTTGATATCTAACTTTAAGTAAAAGTCTTCATATCCCATTGTTAATCTGGGGTTATTATCCTCAGCCTTTCAGTGTTTCTTTCCTCGGATGTAGGTTAAATGTTGCACAAATACTATACGCCACACCCAGTTCTACTCTCTAACACTGCATTGAAGTTTTACTATGGCTTGTCAATGTGCTGCGCACTTGCAGAGCCACAACTGTCACCCCTAAGCCGGTGTATTTTTATTGAAGGTTATTCAGAATGGCACTAGACCAGGTAGATCCGTTAATGAAATGACCTTATTTCCCACGTTTAAATGAATGTGCCTTTTTTCAGCATTGACTTGCTTCCTTTTCCCAGTTATTCGTGTTTACGTCCACGAATGCTAATACTCGTCTGTGATTGGACGCAGTAAGCGGGAAGGCGGGCCGGTTAATGCCTTATTTGGGCACAGAGGATGAAAGCTCCCGTGCATGTTTCCTGGAAACCGTGGAGACGGAATGTCCAATGAGCTCCCCGTTAAGTCGGCGCGGACACGCCCCCTTGTTTTCATCTCTGTCGGCGAGCACATTTTCAGGCATATGGCTTTCACAGCACGGCGAGGAACTGAGCTCAACCGCGATTCTCTGTGCCATACTCTGTAGTTATGCAATACACGTTCATGCTTTTTTGGTTGTATAGTGACTGTTATTTTTACTTCTACATGCTATTATACATGTACAGTTTTTGCGTCCAGTATATTGATACCATTTTGTCACAATGCGGATATAACCGTTTGTGAAGTTTCACGCGTGATGATGCGATTGTGTTTTATTTTTTCTAGTTATTTTTTTAAGCGGGAGGTTACACACTGAAAGGAGGTGATTTAAATGAACAATTTATAATAGATTAGTTTTTGAGAGAGTTTTGTCCTAAATTTTTCGTTTTTAGAATACATTCATGGCACTGCGATATGTGCAGGACATTATAATAGTGTCCCAAACACATTTTCCCAAATATACCCCTCTTTTACCATTGTTAACATTGCATAGAAACACAGAAGACACGTTCCAAAGAAATCCACTATCACACCACCAAACAGTCTTCTGATTTATAATACAAGCAGGATCTCATCATTTACAAATGACAGTAATTTATCATTCTATTTATGTGTCTGCAGGTGTAAGAATGTTTATGCATATAAGTATGTAACATATTCATTTGCTTTGTTATGAAATCAATCAATTCTTAGTAAATAATTTATAATAAGGTCAGAATGCATAAGCTGATCTGGAACATCAGATTAGTAAGTTATCATCTTGGTGGCTGAAATGTCAGATCCCAATGTTGAGTTGGTGCTGATTTGATTCTTGTGAACAGATTTCCACTCGTACTGATTTTGCCCCAAACTGGAATAGACACTTGTTCAGCATTTTCACTGTTAAATATATGTATATTGACTGTCTGAGTTAAAGAGTTTGAATAAATGAAACAAGTGAAAAAGATTCTAAATATCTAGACACGTATCAGATTCTTGCTTATCTGTCTTTGGTGAAGTGTGGTGCAGCAAACAGTGAACATTTTATCGCCTAATTAGCTGGCTTATATTTACAACTATTCAATCTAAATGGTGACAGAATAAAAGCTATTTTTTTTC